AAATGGATGTCAAAACAGTGGAGAAATTATTGAAGGCTCAACAGGAGCACTTTGAGAAATGTTATCAAATTTCTAGAAAGGTCAAGCATTTATGTTCACAACGCTGAAGAATCCGCTGACAGAATTTGTGATCTTCTATTATTTCGTTTATTAATCGAATTTTTAAATTCAATGACTAAGAATAATAATTTTCTTGAATTTTTATATTTTGATACAAAAATGAATTATTTGGAGGTTAAAGAAGAAAATATTGAACGTGCTTATAATTTAATTGAAATGTTTAATGAATATAATGAAACACCTGAGGAATTTTATGGTTTAAAATTCAATGAAAAGTATTCGGAAAATACAAAGAAGATGATAAAAAATAAAGTTGAGGAATTTATAGAAAATTATATTGATGGAAAATTGAATGTTGTTGTTGATCGTTTGAAAAGAAACTAGAAAGAATATTTTATTCAGAGGATTATTTTTTAAAAATTTTTTGGGGTTTTATTATTTAAAAATTATTACTAACCAAAACTCACTTCTCCTCCTCCGCCAAACCCCCCCCCCTCCAACAATTATCCCAAAAAGGAAATTAAGAATCCTAGCTTATTTGTTGGGTTTAACCGGAACCGAAATTTTAAACGGTACCGGAGCTAGAACAAATTCCAATTTGAGTTCCGAATTCCGTAAGCGGAACCTGAACTTTTTCTCGGTTCCGGTCGAAACCGGAACTATAAAAAATTTTACCATTAAATTTGAAAAATTTTCATTTTAAGTAGGGTTGGCGGTTTCATCAAATTTTTCTTTTAACATAACTTACTAATCAACCGAAGCTTTAGCTTAAGTTAAACTAAACCACCAAAATTCACTGATATTCCCAATCGGTCTTCGGGTATCGGGCTGGAGCGTTTTCATTTCGGGTACGTGTTTCGGGTCAAAAAATTTGCATTTCGGGTCAAGGGTTCGGGTATCATTTTTTACGAAATTAACAATTCATGTTTTATTTTTATTCTAAATATAGTTTTAGTCTTGGTAAAAATTTATTTTATTCAAAGTTTCCTTTTTTGCCATTTTTTGTCCTTATTCCAAATCACTTTTATTTGTAGTGGTTTTGTGTGGAAAATATACTTTTTTGACGGAGTTGTATTATTTGCTGTAAGAAAGTATATCTGCTCCCTTCACTGCTGCTCCTTCCTTGTTGGTCTCTTTGTAAGCGGTGTCGTAACAGATATTTTTTAGTGGTGTCGTAACAGATAAAGTAAAAGTGTGGAAAAAGAGCAGTGTTGAAAAACCGAAAAGGTTAGTGAATTGTAATGTTTAGTAAAAAGTGTAGTGATAAAAGTTAATTTTAGTGAGTGAAAAATGGATGTCAAAACAGTGGAGAAATTATTGAAGGCTCAACAGGAGCACTTTGAGAAATGTTAGTGAGGCTATTGAAGTCGAGTGAATTGCACGACACCAAATTGTATAGTAAATTAGTGGGAATGATCGGTGAGTTTAGTTTTGATTTGTCTAGTGGTATGACCTTTGAGTCATGGTTAGGCAGACATCGGTCCTATTTTGAGGAGGAGGGTAAAACCCTGCCAGAATCCTCTAAAGTGAGATTGTTGTTGAGCAAATTGGGGCCAGAAGAAAAAAAGTATCCAAAAGTATGCCCAAATTGAAAGGAAGATGCTGCCAACCAAATTGAGTGAAATGAAGTTTGACGAACTGTGCAGTGAAGTAGTTAAAGAGTTTAGCGACCATCGATCTAAATTGTTGAAGAGATTCGAGGCCTTTAATGTTATGTGTAGTGCCCTTCAAGACATTGTCGAGTTTGAGAATGTAGTGAATGCTCAATGTGAGAGAGCAGAAATGGCCTTGTCAATTGAAGAGTTGAAAATCCTGATCTTTATTTCAGGTATGCCAAGTGATGCAACAGCAGTGCGACAAGTTGCCATGAAAAGGGTGGAAAGTAAAAGTGAAAAAGGGCATGCAGTGACATTGCATTGTATGCATTGTAAGTTTTTGAATGATAAACAGTATCAGCCCAAAAGGCAGTGGAATAATGGTAATAATCATTATTCAGGTTCTCCATATTGTGCAATAATGGACATCTTCGATCCAATGCAAAGTGTTGAAAAAGAAGAGTGGATAAAACAAAAAGTAAAGTTTGGAGAACTGAGTGTGGAAATGATTGTGGATGCTGCATCGCAGATTAATGTTGTCACCAAAGAAGTGTGGACTACTATTGGACGGCCAAAAGTTGAAAAAGTGAATTACAAAAACATTTGGCTGCGTGACAACAAAGTGGAAATTGAAGGAAAGTTCAAAAGTAAAGTGCGAGTGAAAGACACCGAATTCTATATGGATTTCCATCTAGTCAAGAGTGAAGTGTGTATCTTGGGTTTGCCTGGATCGAGAGAAGTGTCAGTGTTAAGCCAAAAGCCAAAGTTCAACAAGTAGAGCAAAAAGAAGGCAGCCTTCAAGATACAGAAAAACGCGGTCCCGAACGGGACAAAAGTGATAGTGAAGAATACAAATAAATGAAGGGAAATTTTTTTGAATTTAAATGTAGTGGAGCAATAAAATATACTAGCGCTAGTACGGCTAGTCCCTGATTTTAGTCCCTCCTAGTCCCTCAGTTTTAGTTCTTGCTACCACAACCTTCCTACAACCTTCCGAGGTTTACTGATGTTGACGTGCAATAAAATAACAATTTATCCGGTGTAGAAATAAACAATGCAGGCGAGGTGGAAAGGGCTTGGAACAGACGAATGGAATCAGGGACTAGCCGCGCTAGCGCTAGTATAAAATGATTATTTAAAGTGTGCATGTTTATTTTATCCTTCTCTTTCAATATTAATTATTTTAATTGCTTATCAAAATTTTATTTAACCAAATGAACCCTCATTAAAAATACAAATATATGAAGAATTAGATATTTTAATGAAAATCCTTTAAAGCTTTTATTTAAAGGCTTTGATTAATCTAAATAGTTAATAAATTATTATTGATGTTTAAAAGAAATCTCGTGAGTCGGAAGCGGCATTGGGAAATGACCTTGGTCGTTTTAAAAAAAGTCAGGAAATTTAAAAAATTTAATGTGTCGAATCTTTTTTCTTTTCTTTATTCTTGATTTCCTCCCAAATGTCCAACAACAACATTCAATTTTCCATTAATATAATTTTCTACAAATTCCTCAACTTTTCTTGTTATCATTTTCTTTGTATTTTCCGAATAAATTTCATTTAAATTTAAATTATAAAATTCTTCAGGTGTTTCATTATATTCTATGAATATTTCAATTAAATTATTAACAAGTTCACTATTTTTCTCTTTAGCGTCCAAATAATTCATTTTTGTATTTGAATAAAAAAATTTGAGAAGAACATCTTTTGTAGTTATTGAATTTAAAATTTCGAGTATTAAACGAAACAAAAGTAGATCACAAATTCTGTCAGCGGATTCTTCAGGATTATTAACATAAATTCTACCCTTGTCTAGAAAATAAGTTAAAAAATATCTTCATCAAAAAATATCTTCACCCCTTCTAATAAACCCACAACCTTACTTCCAGCGTAATGTTGTGTCCTTTATGTTTTATAGCCATATTCTTTTATAGAGCTGAATTTAAAAAATTCCGGATTCGGTTTCCGGATTTCTAAAATTTTCCCTATCCGGATCGGATTTCCGTATCAGGAAAATCTGTAAATCCAAATTTTTAAGATCCGTATTTTCAAACAAATTATAAAATTTCGCAAAGAATTAACAAATTATTGTAAAATTACGTTAAAGTGGGCATTTAAGCACCGTTACAAACAAGTTTTATCGAGGGACACAAAGAAGGATATCGGAAAATTTGGTGGGATATCGAAAGATATAAGGGCATTTTAAGCGAAAGTGGATTAAGGTATATAACGATGGATATAGAGGAAATAAGTGTTTTCGCAATTTTTTGCAACAATGTCCATTTACCGAACACTAGGGATTAAGGGATAGATATTTTTAAATGGATTGACATTTTTTTGAAATTTTAATTATTTTTTAACGTTTAAATTAACTCCCATTTTTTGCTCCTTTTCTGAGAGGCCATGCCCCTTTTCGATGATGTGTAAAGGTAGGGTAGGACAAGTCGAGATCGATATCGATATATCGGTCTCGAATATCGGTCTTTTTCCAATATCGGTTTCACCCGATATCGATCTCGAAATCGATACCGATATATCGACCCAAATATCGGCCGATATCGATATTAAATATACACCCCTAAAGATTGCCTTTTTTCTAAAAAATAGAAGAAATCTGGCCACTTTCCCTTCCAAAATTCTAAAAATTTTCGTCTGCGCCGCTGAAAAGGAAAGAAATATAGCTACTTGAGTCAAAAAAAAATTTCGAATCGACACTAAAATGGGAAGAAATCTAGTCTCTTGGATATTTTCATAGAGATGGGGTTGGATCAGTGCTGAGTACCCTTATTTTTAGAGGAGGGGTTCTCCAGAAGACCCTTTGGCTTTAGGGTCTTCCAAATTCTCAAAATTTACTCATGCGGTGCTGAAAAAGGAAGATTTTGGCTTAAAGATCTTCCAAATTTTCAAAATTTTCGCCTGCAGCGCAAAAAATGGAAGAAATCTTTCTTAAGGACCTCTAAAATACTTAAAATTTTCTCATGCGGCGCAAAAATGGAAAAAAATCTGACTCAAGGACCTGCAAAATTCTCAAAATTTTTGCCTGCGGCGCAGGAAAGGGTAAAAATTTTATAATAAATATTTTTTAAAAAATACGGTAAATATCGGATATCGATCTCGATATCGGGTCAAATCTTGCATATCGATATCGATCTCGGTCATGTCAATATCGACCAATCTCGATATCGAATTTTCCCTAAAATATTGATATCGTCCCACTCTATGTAAAGGTCTACTCTGATCGAAATAGTTATCTTCATTAAATTTACAGGAAAATTCTGAAACTCAAAATAAAGGGCAGTCTATCCATAATATACCAAAAATATTATATTAATTTTTAAAAAATTACATACAGCCAAAACTCCAAATTAATTCCCTCTTAAAATCAAAAATAATTCCTCTAAATTTAGTCATAAGCATTTGTATATTTTGACGTTTTTTAATTTGAACATCATCAGAATTTACTAATTCATGATAACATCCATTTCCATAAATTGCTTCCAAAAGATTATTTTCTAAAGTTTGATTTTCATAAACATCTTCAGCCAAATTTAAAATTTTGTTATAAAATTGTTTTGCTTCTAATGGTGAAATAAAACGAATTTCTCCATTAAATTCCCATTTTGCTCCACATTTTCCTTTACTTTTTAGTTCAATTTTTTCCTTGATTTTCTTAATTTTTTCTTCCATCTTCAAATCTTTTTTTCTGAATAATTTAATATGAGAGGTTTATGTACAAATTGTATTTTGAATTTTTAAGGGTCTCAAAAGACGCAGAACGTATGTAGATACTCGCCCCTGGTTATGAAAAGTCCAAAAGGAAAAATAAAAAGGTTTTAAAGGGTGTCAATATAATTAGCGTAAATGCACTAATTGAAGCACATATGCTTCTACTCTCGTAGGGTGTGCTTGTATTAGAGACTGTGCCTCGATTAAACAGCACAGTCTCTGATATAGGTTGAAGACAATTGAAGATTTTGTACATAATGTTATTAAAAACTAACTTTCTCCCAATCTTTCCTTTAAAAAATCGAATTTTTCTTTCATGCAGTTTTGTCGATAAAGATAAATGCGCGATGTTAAAATAGATTCCCAAATTTCTTTCTGATATATTTCCATATACATATAATAAACACAATCCTTGAATAAACGGTTCCTAAATTTAAAAATTATTTTAGGTGTAGAAAACGCTAATATTAGTATCAGAAGTCACGAACGGGCGATTTCAATTGTTATAAATAGGGTTTTCAGGTCCAAAAAACTGATAATAGATACCTAAATAGGTTGAAAACAGGTTTCAATTGGTTAAAAAAATTTCGAAAATTGGCAAAATATGTAGGTACGAATTTTTAACAAATATGTAGGTTTAAATTTTTAGCGTAAAATTTTATATCATATATTTATTCGATTAAAAAATTCAAACAAATATGCCGGATTTATAACTAGTCTCAAAGCAAGTTATATCATCAATCTGCGAGTCCACCCCTTAAGTACACACATAAGACGTGACCCACGATTATTGACAATAAAACTTACAAAAAGGGAATTCGAGGGACTTAAACGGATTAAGGGGATATGTACCCAGGAGAGAAATAACCGTTGTACCATAAGTGGATGAGTAGAGATCAATACGCAATTTAATAGCACCAAATTCGTCGATATCTCTTTAATCACTCACCTTGCGCTAGCCTTACTTAAATAATAAAAAACCTTACTTAAAGAATAAAAACCCAAAACGCTCTTTAGAATACCTCTATTTCATATTCTGTAACACATGATTTCTTATAACGTTTAAATGCTTGTTTAAATTCCAAATTTTCATTAAAATAATTATCAATAATCTTCATCTGTGTTTTCTTTTCTAAATAAAATTCTCTTTTTATTTCAATTTCATTTCCAAATAATTTATTTTGGCATTTAATTATTTGGGTCATTCTGTCTTTTGTCCATATAGTTTTGTGAATATATCTCCTTTGCTTTCTTTCATTATTTCGCTTTAAGTTTACTTCATTACTTGATGAAGAAACTGGAATTTTTTTAAAATTTTTTTATACTTTCAAAATGATACTCTTATAAGAGATAGGCACGGGACGGGATCCCGCATGGGATTTTACGAGATCCCGTCTGGAATCCCGGGTTTTGCGCGGAATACTGGATTTGATTGATTTATGGGATTAATCCGCGGGATTCCAATTCGTATAAAATGTTGAAAGAAATTCCGTTACGGGATCCCGGGAATGCGGCTAACGCTTATCCCTTCAAAGCATACAAAACAGATATCTTTCGAAACGATTTTCGATTTCCGAAAATTATGAATGCGGATTTATGTAACGTTCAAAAGCTTGATACAGACCATTATATTCTTCTTGAGAATTATATTCTTCTTCAGAAATTTCATTTGCATCAACAGAATATAATAAATAAAAAATTAAATTTAATAAAAACAAATTAAATTTATTTCTTAACATCCTTTTAAAAATTAATTTTTAAATGAAAGCTTGCCCTTTTACTTATATTAAAGTAAAATGGGGAAGATAAATTAGACGGAAGTAAAGTTTGGCTTTATTACAATTTAATTATTTCCTGTTGAACTTTAAAAAATTTTTATGTGTGATTAGACTATCATAAAGTTCATAACGTGTGAAATTGCCAATAATTATTTATAAAAAAGTAATAAAAAGTGCAAGTGATTTATGAAATTCGCGACGGTCAGTTTAGCAATTTCCAAATAATAAAAAATATGATTGTTAAAGCAGTCTGAAGACATTTATTATGCAAATTATCTTGAAAGTTTTTTTTTAATTTTGGGTTGGAATTTAGCAATTGGTGTGTAAATTTTCTAAATTAAGAAAAAATATTTTGTGTTTAAACAAATTAACATACCACATTCTACTGAAAAAAACTTCTTTACAGCTAAAGCACTTTAAATAAAAATTTATTCCAACGACTAAATATTTTTAAAAAATTTGCGAATGATTATTAAATTTTTCTCAACAAAAATTAAGCAACTTGTGAAATGGAACCATTAAATTATTATTTACATTGATTTTGCTAAAGCATTTGACTCGATTCCTTTTGAGCTCTTATTACACAAAATAAAAGCTTATGGAATTAATGGAAAATTATATGATTTCATAGAAAACTTTTTAACAACAAGAAGTTCAAAGTTAAAATAGAAAAAGAATTCTCTGAAAGCGTACAAACAAAATAAGGCGTACCACAGGGAAGTGTATTAAAATTTGAAATAAAATTTGAACACTTCAAATTGTTTTTTCAAAACAAATATTTTTTTTATTTAATGTAGAGAAAAAAGATTCTGTCAAAATGGTAGAATATATGAAAAATTAAACCAAGTACAAAGTATCAACAAATCATTTTACTCTCTTGATATCTCTCAATTCTAATGAGAGAGCTGGCATACTAAAGAGCGCTGGATTCAAAAATTCCGTAAGGATACAGCCTTCGCATCTTGGTCTGGTTGAGATTGAATTATTTGTAAAGAAATACTAATTTTAACAGCAAAAAAAGTATAAATCCCGAAAACTTGTTAAAAAATAATCTTTAAAATAAATAATAATTGAATTTCGTCTTTCTAAATCAAATATTCTTTCTAATTTCTTTTCAAACGATCAACAACAACATTCAATTTTCCATCAATATAATTTTCTATAAATTCCTCAACTTTATTTTTTATCATCTTCTTTGTATTTTCCGAATACTTTTCATTTAATTCTAAATTATAAAATTCCTCAGGCGTTCTGTTATATTTGTTAAATAATTTAATTAAATCATTAACTAATTTATTATGTTTAGATTTTGCCTCCAAATAATTTATTTTTGTATTAAAATATAAAAATTCGAGGAATTTATCTTTCTTAGTCATTGACATTAAAAATTCGAGTAATAAACGAAATAATAGAAGATCACAAATTTTGTTAGCAGATTCTTCAGAATTGCGAACATAAATGCTTGTTTTATCTAGAAATTTAATGATTGAATAAAATAAATATGAATATAATTGGATGAAGATACTCTCCACATAACTATAGTTCCACCCTTATTTTCGTGTTTTTTCCATTTAGACCCCAAAAATTTTTTAAATTTTCGTTTAAATATTGTCCTCAGGTACCTAAAAGACTAATTAAAAATCAAAATTTAATTTTGGGATTAAAATTACTAGTGTTTTAAATATTTTGTTGGAAAACACCTCCACATAACTATAGTTCCACTTCCCAAAAAATTATTTCCAACATTAGGAAAAATCTACAAAAATTCCAGCAAACTTATATACTTATATTATAAAAAAATAAAAAGAAACCAGGTCAATATCTTTATCCTAAGACGAGGTCCTGATACCTCGAAAATCAACGTAAAACAGGGGTAAGCCTCTTTAAAAAATATTTTCGAGCCCCTATAGATTATTTTGAATTTTCATTTTAGACTCATTCGAAAGCCCTTGAAATTTGCTATAAGATAGCAGAAGAACTATTTTTGAAAAAAATTCTAGATATAGATACATGCCGTTAATATTCCGAAGCAACGAAAAATGCCTAAATGCCCCAAAAAATTCCCTTTAAGGTCGCTTCCGAAGTTTAAATGAATGTATCTCTACTTTAAATTTTTTCTAGAAAATAAGATTAATGCTATCTTGTAGCAAATTTCAAGAGCTTTCTAATGAGCTCAAAATCAAAATTTACAGTAATCCATAAGGGGTCGAAAATATTTTTTAATTTGAAAAACCCTGTTTTACGTTGATTTTCGAGGATCAGGACCTCGTCTTAGGATAAAGATATTGACCTGGTTTCTTTTTATTTTTTTATAATATAAGTATATAAGTTTGCTGGAATTTTTGTAGATTTTTCCTAATGTTGGAAATAATTTTTTGGGAAGTGGAACTATAGTTATGTGGAGGTGTTTTCCAACAAAATATTTAAAACACTAGTAATTTTAATCCCAAAATTAAATTTTGATTTTTTATTAGTCTTTTAGGTACCTGAGGACAATATTTAAACGAAAATTTAAAAAATTTTTGGGGTCTAAATGGAAAAAACACGAAAATAAGGGTGGAACTATAGTTATGTGGAGCACTGTAGTATACACAGACCGCATATCACTGAGATTTCTATAGTAAAATGTTAACGAACAGCCCACACATAACAGGCAAAAGAGCTGATACCCCTATTATATACGCGTTCATGCTGTGGAAAAATTCATTGGATGGGAGATGGAATTGAAGCATCACGGAATGAGCCCATACCGAAGCACAACCAACTGTACCACCATCTTACCCGTGATTGGCTATTTATTTTCATAAATATTTATTCTGCAAGTGCGGTCACAACAACCCCTAAGTTACCGCATGGCCAAAGCCCGCAGAGCTATAATTTCGTTAAAAATTGTTGAAACTGGGACAAATGTTATGACCCGATGCAGCTGATCGAGCTGCATCAGGAGTAGCGATTTGCATCTGCTCCTGCAACGAGTATATAAAAATGAGAGCTAAAAATGAGTGCTTTAATTATAACACAACATTTATAAAAATTACATACATTTGGAACTCCAATTTAATTCCCTTCTAAAATCATAAATAATTGCTCTAAATTTAGTCATAAACATTTGTATATTTTGGGGGTTTTTAATAAATACGTCAGCAGAATTTACTAATTCACGATATAGTTCACTTTCATAAATTATTCCCAAAAAATTATTTTCCAAATTTTTAACATAT